AAATAGTTAATTTGATACTAATATCAATATATTTTTGTCAAATTTTTATGATATCTTCAAACATATATTTTATTCAAAAATAAAAACATTATCGCTTTCTCAAAATCACATAAAGTCATATTATAACATCGACTGAGATAAAAAATAAAATGAAATATTAAAATCACGATTAATCTCGCTGCATTGCGCGAGTACGCTTCTAATAAAGACTAAAAAAAGACTTCTTGAATTTAAAAAGAATGTTAAAGATATTTTCATACTACAATTTCATAACCAAGCTAACTTTTAAAAGTTGTTTGCTTAAAGTGCCAAGCAACCCATCATTTATATAGTAGGAAAATGGAACACAAGGACCAAAAAATAAAACTAAATCTACTTTTTAGAATACCCAAAAGACAAAGCAAAATTACCCAAAAGATAGTACAACGAGAATATATTTTTTTGTACTATAAATTCTTCAAATCTGCAGGAGATGAGCTATCAAAAAGGTGGATAAGACTTCAAAAGATCCACCGTAGTATTATCCAAAATGCCTCTGGAATCATCCTGCAGCACATGTTGTAGTATACTTCTGATAAATAATCTATTTACAAACCTTTTTCCCATCAATTAACACATATTCAATAAGTAAACATGTTTATCACATCAATTCGACTCTAATATAAGAAAGATGCAAAAATAAAATAAAATGACTCAATTTGTGAAATTTTGGGAAACTTAGACGGATAATTAAAATAAGAAAAGATGAAAAATCATCAAATAATTTGATACTTATCAGGGTGTTTCAAATTTCTAGAGGTGGTAGAGAAGTGGTAGAGATCGACGGAGACATATACCATGAAAGAGCAGATATTAATGGGAGATGGTGTGGGAGGAACTTGACGAAGATAACCGCCGTGAGAAGGAATTGACGGCCTTGGAGGAGAAAGCGTGGGAGGAGAGAGTGTGGAGGAGGGAGGCCGAAGCGTGGGAGGAGAAAGCGTGAAAAGGAAAATGTGGAAGAATGAGATTCTGAATGGTTTTGCTTTGTCCTAGATACAAAACCATATAACGCGTTTTGAGACCATTAAAAGGCTTTAATTATTTTGTCAAACAAGACTCACATTTACAAGATTCAGATGATGCCTCTTAATGGCACCATTAAGATGCAAAAAAACACCTCTTAACATGGTAAGTTAGTCCATCATATCTTATTATATTGAATTAGATTTTTTTTTCTCTCAAATACCCTTGTCCTACAATTTTTAAGCATACGTCTCGTTAAAAATAAATAGTTTACCAACATGAATAATTTAGAAAAATTATAATCAAATAATAGTACTTTATTATTTTGAATTTATTTGAAGTTATCAAGTATTGTGTATGAGTTCATATCATTTATGTTATTTTAAATTTCTTTTGTCATTTTAAATATTTATCAAACAATTTATTTTCTTCAGTACTTATGTCGACATAAGATTAAAATGGTAATTTTTGTTGTTCAGAAGATTTATTCAAGACAAAAATCAAATAATAATTTATCCAAACAGATTAATGTCTATAGACAATTTAATAGATTTAGATTTTAAATAGATACAAAATCAAACAGCCCCACCTTGTAATAAACTAACTATTAATTGATAAGTTAGGAATAAACTAACCATATTTAGTAAAGAATTAATTGAAAAGTTGGATGATAATGTAAAATGACCTTAAACATCATATTAAAAAATTAATTCAAATGATTTAAGTAACATAATTGATAAAGGTGGAAAAAAGGTCCTAAAAACTTGAAATATATTTTCAAAAAAACTTGCATATGACTAATCATATAAGACTTTTTCAATGAGTTTAAAAGGATCAAAACCACAAATGGAATTTAAGTTTTGAACAATGACTTTTGGATCTGAGTTTGACTTGGGATTCACTAGTTATGTTCGATTTTGGAGGTAATTCCTAACTTTAAGTTCAAAATCATTATCATCTTACAAATTAGCTTTGCATTTATTCTGAGTTTAAAACAACTTGAAGCTTACAGTTGTCAACCACCATTAATGGTTGTTTCAACTGGATATTGAAGGACCTCAAAGGAAGTCGGTTTGCATCAATTCGTTATAAACTCGATGATAAATTATATAAATGAGACAACCGAATGATTTTTGTATAAAAATTATCAAAACCAAATTTCATTCATAAAAAAAGGGGTTACAGATATGAAATGAGTCTGAAAAGATAGGGTAGTTTTAGAAACGAGTCAAAAAGTGGATCATGAGTAATAAAAGTGATGGCTTTTGATTGTATCTATTTGGCTAAATTGAGAGAGAAAGAGAGAGAGAGGGAGAGGGAGAGGGAGATGAAGAGGGAGAGAGAGTGAGAGAGAGAGAGCCCCCTAATCAACGCAAGTATGATTTTGAACAACCTATAGAAAAATATTGTTAAGAAAGATGGAGAAGGTAGTAGTTGTGACAAGGCTGTTCCACTTGAGTAAATATCATTGTTAGACGAATGTGAATATGATAGGGTTTTTTTTTTAAGATGTTCCACTTGTTTAGTTTTTGGCATTACAAAGTAAGCCATGAAATTTACGATGAACTCGATGAATGAATATTTTTTATTCGTGAAATAGTGATCTTTTGTAAACATGTTTAATGTTTGATATTATATTTTTTTAGTAAAAACATATTTGATTAAATTTACAATGTTTAAATGATAAAAATATTAAAATTAAAAGTACAATGCTATAATAGAAATTAGTGATGCTATAATAAAGTAATTTTGAAAGTCCAATGCTATAATAAAGATGTCATGTCAGTACTATCGTACACGTGGACAACCTATATGGATGATGAAATGACAAATAAACCTGGTATAATGGGTAAATTAAATTCAAAAGGTTACCCAATGCTATAATAGGTAAACTTTTAAAAGTACGATGTCCTAATAAAAATATTTTGAAAGTACGTTTCTGTAATAAGAAAAACTAAAAGTAGAATGTTATAATAAAAAAACTTATAAAAGTAAATTGTTATTTCACGCATTTTACCCTTTGATTTAAGAAACATGTAAAATTTCCTATAGGGTTTGTCGTTGGGGAAATTAGGAAAAAAGCAAACTGACCACAAAACAAGTGTTGGAATTGTGTTTATGTGATCAATTTGGATCATGGAAGAACAATTTGGATTTTGCTCATAATCTGCTTGATGAAATGTATGAATGTGAAGTTGCACCTAATTCATTTGGTTATATTTAAAATCTTTAATTTTTTTTGATTTAAAATCTTTAACTTTTTTTGATTTATCTATTAATTAAACAACTTTATTTTCGTGAGACATCAGTAATAAACACTTTTGAGTGTTTTGATAAACAACTTATATCAGTGCCAAATCAGTAATAAGAAGTTTTTGAAGAAGTTAAAGTCTTCTGACTTATAATAAGTTGATAAGTGCTTTTATAGAAAAAACATAAGTTGTTTCAAATAAGCAATCTCAAACACCCTGGAGCTCCAAACTTATTCGAGTAAAATAGACAATTTGGGGACCGAACATGTTAATTTGTATCTCAATGGACCAACATCACATAATACCCATATATTTCAGGGACTATCATTGTAATTTCGATATTTTTGAAGCTTCTCCCCTGTTTCTTCTTGACTCCAAGCCTCGAACACTCCCCAAACCATCCACAGGAACGTGCATTCTTCCGATCTCAACTCACATTATATTGTTTTATCTATAGAAATTGAAGTTTTTTCCAGTTTATCAATGGATGAAGCAGTAGCAGTAGCAGTAGGAGCTCTGGCAGGAGACGCAGTTTCTAAATCATCGGATGCCATCATACATGTGATAAAGAAATGCTGGCAATTTAGATCCAAGCTTACTCAAACAGAAGAAACAACAAAGAAAAGGAAGCAAATCTTCACCGACATCGAGAAACAAAATAATCTATCGAAAGAGGAAACCGATATGTACAGGAATCATCTGAAAGAAGCAGAAGAAATCGTTCAGAAAGGCAAGAATATGAAATGGTATTCCTTTAAGAGGTACCGTTACTCGTCGGAATTGGACGATTTGAAAGCGTCGTCGCTGAGATTCTGTCAGATCGATGTTCCGTTGCAGGGGGTGAGGGATACAAAGGAAGCTTTGGTGGTGGTGAAAGATTTAAAAAAGGGAATAGAGAGTTCCGGTAATTGGTCGTCTGGTGTTCCATTGCCAAAGGGGGATGTTATAGGATCTGAGGATCGAGTTAGAGCTTTGAAGGCGATGGTGCTCAAGGATTCGAAGGTTGATGATTGTTCAGTTGTAGTCGTTTCGGCTGGAGGAGGTTATGGGAAGACTACTTTGGTAACAGAGCTCTGCCACGATCCTGATATTCAAGGTATTTTCTTCATTATAATCTACTACTCAAAATAAAAACTTATCACTGGTGAATCCAATTTTATTGGGTACAAATTTACAATTACTTGAAATCAAGTTGTATGATTTTGTTGATGATTTTCAAAAATTGGTTGTACATATTATTGTGTAAACTGATCATTTCTTTGACTACTCATAATTGTACAGAATCATATATCAACTAAAGAACAAATAGACTATAAAATTACTCCATGCCAGTTTTCAAATTGTTAGTCCTTTAGCTAACATAAAGCTCATTTGAACCGAAAATTACTGTATGTCATCTCGATATTTTAGCATATCATGTTTATCAAATCTTTCCATGATTGATGATTATGTTAATGTTCTCATTTGAACAGAAATTTTTGGCAGAAACATCTACTTTGTTACCATCTCAGAAGCCCCCAACATAAAGCTTGCTGTAAACAATTTACTTCAGAAAAACCATGGTGGTCATAAGCAGCTTCATTTTGTTACGGATGAAGATGCGACCTGCCAATGGGGGAGGTTTTTGGGTGAAAATAAGTCTGAAATACTGTTGGTACTGGATGATGTATGGCATGAATCCATTGTTACGGACTTCAAGTTCAAGTTACGTGGATACAAGATTCTGGTCACATCTAGGATGACCTTTACACAGTTTGATACATATGAATTGCAACTTTTGAATAATCAAGATGCCACCAAGTTGTTTAGGAATTCTGCATTTTCCGTAGATGGAAGCGAACGTATTGATATATCTGATGATCTTATCAAAAAGGTAGAATGAAACCTTTTTCTGTCAAGCCTAACTTTGCATTATTTAATTTATTTTGTCTTAACAGGAAGTGCTACATTAGCTGAAAATCCATCACATGTAGCCGGCCAACCATTCACATGAATCTCTACTAACTTGATCGTTATTGCTACACCCTTTTTCTTTTTCTTAACATTCGTTTTGGCACTTTTTTATAGAAATTATTGCTTACCAATATGAATTGATTTCTGTAGCTGGTCAAACATTGCAAGAATCATCCCCTGGCCCTTGTTGTGATTGGTGGTTTGCTAAAGGGGAAAGAAGTGGCAACCTGGAAATGGATGTTGAAAATTTTGTCTGCAGGGGAGAAATCTATTTTGGATCTGCACAAGTCTATTCCAGATTGTCTAGAAAGGAGTTTAGTTGTGCTTGAGAAAGAACCTGCAATCAGGCAATGTTACTTGGACTTGGGATTATTTCCTGAAGATCAGAGGATAGCAGCTACAATGCTTATGGACATGTGGGTCCATTTATACAATCATGATGAAGAGGGATTAGATACCATAAACAAGCTCACTGAGCTCTCCTCCAGAAAACTTGCTACACGGTTGCGAATGAGGTACTTCTCTTCTGATTTCAATTTTATATGAAGAAATAAACTTATTTGATAGTAATATATGGTAAATTACATGATATAAATAAGAACAGAGTAATGATCCTTAATACTTTCTTCTCTGAATGACTAATGTGACCATCTCCATTCTGAATTTAAATGGTGTTCGTCTAAGTTGCCATAACAAGAAAAATTCTAGTTTCACAATAAACTCGTCTAATTGCTTGAAATCCTAGACCACTTGTTACCTTTAGAGTTAACTTCATAGCAGGATGTTCTTTTATCATCTAGCATACTCTTTCTTAAGCAACAATTAATGGTAACATATTTTTCTTATACATTTTCTAATAATAGAAACCAACAATAAGAGCTAATAAACAATCATAAATTTTGGATGTCTGTAACAACTCTTTTCCATTCTCTTTAATACATTGGACTTCTACATCCCTATTTCTGTCTTCATCTTATACACATATGCACCTTAAAAGCCACTAGCTTGTCTTATGATTTCTCTGCATCTCTACAAAATGAAACTTCCGTTTGGTCATCAACTTTGCATTTGATTGCAGGAAGCAACCTGCTATAGCCAACTATTGTGAGGAGGAATCTGTTGTGCAACACGATATGATGTGGAGGCTAGCTAATAAATTGAGCAGTAAAGAGCCAGTAGAGCGGTTGATTATAAAGGCAGATGAACAAGTGCCTCCCCAATTGCCTCATACTGTCAACGCCCGTATATTGTCTATTTCCACAGGTATGGGTGCCTCATTTCAGCCTTTTCTTAAAGATGGTATCTGGTTAGAAATGTATATATCCGTTCTTCTAATCATATTATGCATGCTATCGATGACAGATGAAAGATTTTCTATGAGATGGAATGACTATCAAGTCCGTAAAGTGGAAGTTTTTGTACTGAACTTGATGTCAAAAATATATGACTTGCCACAGTTTGTGCAGAACATGGAGATATTAAAGGTTCTAATTGTTACAAACTACGGATATTACTTCTCACAGCTTCGGAACTTTCCTGCGCCGCAATATTTATCTAGTCTAACCCGCATTAGGTTGGAACATGTTTCGATATCTTCGATTAGTACATCATTACCAGAGTTGGTGAACTTGCAGAAATTGTCCTTGATCATGTGCAAAATAGGCAACAGTTTCAACGAATGCTCAATGCCCAACAAGTTTCCAAGCCTTTTGGAGATCGAATTGGAATCTTGCGAAGATTTAGTTACATTTCCTGCAACGTTATGCAATCTAGTTGGCCTAAAAAAACTCAGCATCACTAATTGTCTTGAGCTGATTTCATTTTCTGAAGGATTAGGAAACCTGACAAATTTGGAAGTTTTGCGGCTTGCATCATGCTCAAAGCTCATGGCATTACCTGAATCAGTGATAGAACTTCAGAAATTAAGCATTATTGATCTAAACTACTGTTTACATCTCTCCTTGTTGCCATCGCGGATAGGTGAGTTGGGTTGTCTACAAATCATTCATATGATAGGTTGCACGGGGCTGGATGAGCTGCCATCTTCAATTAAGGATTCATGTTCATTGGAAGTGGTCTGCGATGAAGAAATCTTCCAAAAGTTATGGAGTCATCTCCCGAATGTGAAAGTAAAATTGGTAGAAGAAGATAGATTTGATATCTTCTGGAAGATCGTCGCAAGAGATATGGATGTTCAATAATGTAAGCAGGGCTGAATTCTTATAAGGTATGTTTTCATATTCTATATTTAAACTCAACTTCTAAGGTATATATGTTTCATTCTTGGATCATAACTTTTCTTCATCTTCCATTTCAAATGCTTGTAAACTTTTATTTACCTGATATTGGTATCGAGTTACAGGGTGTACTTTTTGAAAGCATGAACGATTTTAGTTTGTTTTTCTTTGTATAATCAATAACCCAGACTTTTTAGTTGCTAAAGAAATAGACCAAGTATATAATCACATACAACATTTGAACTTCTATTTTGCAAATGAATTGCATGGTGTGACGATAATAATAAACGGAATAGGAGGATGAATAGATATGACATCCATGAACTGAAATTAATTGGTATGAACAAATACTCTCTATCTCAACAGAACATAACATTTTTCATACAGTGTCCAACCCTATATCCAGCCAGCGTACCTTGTAAAGACTTTCCTTAACCTTTGGGGTAAAGAGCATTGAGGCATTAACATATCATAGGATTGTCACCTTACATTAATTTCTTCCATTGGTAAGCTTATACATACATCTAGCTTTTTTATTTACAATACATGAATATGAACAACATCTCTTTTCGTTTTTAGTGTCGTAAGACACTTCGTGATCATGAACACAACTATCCATTAACTATCGCTTGTGTTTTCCGATTCATTTGAGATACATGTTAACATACGTAAACTTATAATCTAGTGAGTTCATGGCCTTGATACATATCATAAATCATATGCAGCATATTAAACATTTTCATCAACTTTCTCTTAGTGAGGTCACGACTTTCCTTCCATCGAATGAGCATTTTAGATCTATCATGGTGACTCATTGCCCATTTCAATACAAATTATAGAGATGACTTGTCATAATCCTCGCATTAATTCAAGCAATTACATAAACCCGTGTTGGTGAAACTAATAACTCTAATTTTGGGAATTATTGAGACATTGTTAGTATTTGTTTCTTTCTTCTCTTTTTTATGTGTGTTTTCCCTAACCCTTGTCATGCTTATTTATTTTTATTTGGAGTTGATAGGGAAAAGAGTCTTGTAATTTAGTTTGTTAGTTCTTGACCTTTGTTCAACTGCCGGTTGTATTCAGAAAAATCCTATAGTATGATTTTACTGAATGATTTAAATGGATTCTCACACTCAAGAGGCCAAGAACAAGACTCACGGCCAAATTGACAAAAACAAAATACGCACTTGTAGACTATCCCCATCTAATATATCCTTCCCAAAGTACGTTTTCTACTTATTCTTTACTCTTTTACTAATTTACACCTAAAATGTCTTGGAAAACATCCTGCACCTACAAGTCTTCATTCATTAGATCTGGCAACCAGATGGATGGCAAATCACTCATAGAAGCACAAATTCCAAGGGCTCGTCTCAACCGGGAAACATGACAGATGGATGACAAATCTAGTTTGTAAGCAACATTCCCAATCTTCTCCAGCTAAAATTAGATCTGGCAACCAGTTTGGGATTATCTTCCATGACCACTTAACAGCAGTATCGCCTAAGCTGAAAAAAGACCCAATTGACTAACCTTTAGTAATGCTTGTTCTCCCTAAATTAGCATGTTGCATCATTCATTTCAACAAATCAATCCAAAATTTCCTCTCAATCAAGAAACTTGTGATCCACTGACTGAATTTCCTCTCATCCTGTGATGAAGTAGCTGACATACAAAACCTCGAATAGTTAAATTTTAATACCAACCAATTTTCCCCTTGTTTTGGCTTGCAGGAAACTAGAAAACCCAAGCACTGCTGCAACTACTTATTGACACTGTCTGATTAGCATTGAAGTTTCCTCCCAAACCCGCAGAGAGGTAATGAATGGCTCACTCAGTTTTTCTTATCTTTGACAAATTCTGTATTAGCCTCGCCAAAATCAATAATTTTAATGTCTCTCAATCCAAATAAATTCATAAAAAAGTTAAAAGGAATCACGTTGCAGTATAAGTAACCATCTCTTTATTGGGTATTGCAAAGCAAGACCTTTATGTTGTAGCCTACCCGATAAATCATGTTTAACCCTTTGTAGGAAATCCTCATCAATTTCCTTCTGCAATGACACCCACCCATGACAGCAGATTCAATTTCCATAACTTTCCGGTTGCAATTTCGACTATTTTATTTGCCAACCCACTTCTGATTATAACTCGGTGTCCATTATGCAGATACTTAAAATTCTATTAGTGAATTCTAGTGATGGCCAAACCGGCCCGGCCTAGGATAGGACTGGTTATAGGACTGAAATGAGGGACCGGTTCATGATTTGGAAGGTTTTGTGGGACCGGGACTGAGCGGGATCAGTTATGGACCAGCCCGACCTCGCCTGAAATTTCAAAAAATGTAGCCGTTAGAGAGCCGTTATATAGCCATTTTTTTGGTTTTTTTGCCTCCTAAACACTATAAATATGTGTTTTGGTTGAGTGATTTATATACCAAGTTCTCAATTCACAAAAAAACGTGCACAATTTTCGGTTTCTTGCTATATTTTATGAATTCAACTCGTATTCATTTCTCGTTTCCACTTCACAATTCGAATTTCTTTCTCTCTGTCTTACAAAATAGCCAGCGAACAACATGATGCATCAAACGAACAAGTTGCCTCAAGTTCTCGCCGAACACGGACGAAAGTCTGAGATTTGGAATCACTACAACTTGGTGGTCCTCGTGAACGAGAAAAGAAAGGCACGATGCAAAATGTGTCAAACTCTCCTACGTGGGAAGGAAATTCTACCTTAAGGATGCATACCGAAAAAAACTTGCCCGGGGTTGAGGTCGGAGGGCGATTCAAGTCAACTGATACTTGACACTCGAGGTCAAATATGGTCGTATGATGCCGAGTTGAACCGACAAATGACAACACAATGTGTCATTGATTCAAGTCGGGTTGCCTTTCGGACAGTTCGACAACCCTCACGTTACGAAGTTGATCCAAAAGACGCTACAACCACGATACAAGCCGGTAAATCGTCAAACTCTTAGACGTGATGCAATTAAAATTTGGAAAATATGTCGAGCCGAAATGCAACAAATGTTTTCTGTTTTGCCTAACAATATTTCTTTAACATGTGATGTATGGAGTGAACCATACGGATTGCCGGTTTCGTATATATGCATAACGGCACATTAGGTTGAGCCTTCATTGTGGCATTTATTCAAACGTGTAATCGTGTTTGAACCGTTTGGTGCGCCACATTCTAGTGCACGTCAAATTTCAATTATTAAAAAATGTCTTGCATTTTATAATTTAATTGTTAAAATAATTAGCATTTCATTTTATAACGCTAGTAATAACAATTTTTGTGTTGAAAAATTAAAGTGTCATTTGACGTCTATCTTAGACGGTAAATTATTTTATACATGTTGTGCACACATAATTTAGCCGTTTAAGACGGTTTAAATACTTGTAAACCCCTAATAGATATGTTTAGGCTTACGTTTCGGCGAATTTTCACAAAGATTAAGAAAATGAATGCGACATCTAGAAAATATTGCGAGGACGTTGGTTTCAGAGCTTTGGGACCGAGGTTCGATATGTCCGTTCGTTGGAATTCGACTTATTTTATGATTGAAAATTTGATAAGACAAAAAAAATATTTTTTTCATTTTATAGATACCATTACCTGCAAAATTCTATTGTAAATTTTGATTGGGCCGTGCTTGAAGAATTGTTGATATTTTAGGCGATTTAAAAATACGACAACACTTTTATCCGATATTTATTATCCAACAAACCCTTTAGTTTTAAACCAATTATATATTTTGGCAAGTAAGATTGTCCAATACGAAGACCATCACGATTGGGGAAGATTGATGTTTTCAATGAAAAAGAAATTGTTAAAATAATTTATAAGCATCTCATTTATTTTTTTTGTGCTACAACGTTAAACCCGTATTTAAATGTTATCGGTGTTGAAGTTTTAATTATACAATTATGTGTGGCTTTTGGTTTAGATTGGCTACGGATAATTCTTTTTCAATGGAACAAAAACGTTCGTTTAATCGTAATTTTCAAGATTTATTTGATCAATACAAACATTTTTACGGAGGAGGAAACCAACAACAAAGCTCTTCAAGTCGTGGGTTTGCGGGTTCTAGTTATTCTTCTAGTGGTAATCGACAAAGTCGGAAAGAGTTGATGACTAATTTAATGAACGAAGTTTTAAATGAATCAAGTAAAAAAATCGATTTGATAACGATTTGGATGAACTAAATATTTATGTACATACTAACTTTATGACCGCATATCCCGCAAATGATGTCGAAGATTTTGAAAAAGTTGATGTATTAGATTTTTGGAAACAAAAACAACCTTAATTCCCGGTTTTGGCATGCATCGCACATGATATACTAACAATCTAAGCCAGTACCGTAGCCTTGGAGTCTGTTTTTTTTTCTTAGTAACGTCGTTTGGCTCATGATTATATTTGGGTTGTGTATTTTATATTATTTTACATATTAAATAATTATTTTATTAAAGTATTTTTAGTTTTAATTTTTTTTTTACAAAAAGAGTATTTTGGTCATTTACCAATATTTTATTATAATTCTAAAGCTACATTCTGTTAACCAAACAGACAGATTCCAATTCTTTAACATATTACATTCCAATGTCTTTCAACCAAACAGGTGGTCAAACTTGACAACATTTCATTCAAATTCCTTTAACAAATTCCATTCCATCCAAAAACATTTTGTGAATCAAACGTCACCTTACTTTATTGGCTAAAAATTCCATTTTCACAAATTTTAGCCCATTTAGGTAGTGCACAAGTGTTGATTCTCTCTCTCATTGATTTGATGATAATCCTTTTTACCTTATATGAAGTATTTATGTTTCTGTTTTTAGTTCCAGCGATCATCACTGAGTCTGTTCAGTGATCGCTGAAGAACTTGTAATGTAAATCCAAAACGTAACAATACCCTCCTCCAACGTCATCTTCCCTCTTTTGTATCCCCCCTTCTTTGGTGCCCCCCTTTCGCTACCTCTCACTCTATTTATTCTTTCTCTTTCCTTTGCGATATGTAGGAGGTTTTAATGTAAATGTGGTGGGTATCCAACACTCATTTCCTTTCCCCTTTGTGCCCAGTGTTGTTACAATGGGATTAATCAGAGGTTCACCAAAGTGGTGGTAGTGATGCCTATGATGGGGTTGTCGAGATGGGGTAGGGAATGATTGGT